ATGCAGCTTAGATCTGGAATAAACACACATAATAAATCAAATAAACCCTTATACAATCAAGCTAAATGTTGCAGCTTTGCACTGCTTTCATAATTCCTCTGTAGATGTACATGAGCCAAGTGTATCTAACGTAGGAATTGTGTTGAGTTCAATCAGTCAATATGTATGTGTGTTTGTTGAACTTCATAATATTTTCTAACATTTGGGTCCAACATTTGGGTCCAACATTTGGGTCCAACATTTGGGTCCAACATTTGGGTCCAACATTTGGGTCCAACATTTGGGTTCAACATTTGGGTCCAACATTTGGGTTCAACATTTGGGTTCAACATTTGGGTCCAACATTTGGGTTCAACATTTGGGTCCAACATTTGGGTCCAACATGAGTACAATTTTTTGAATACCTTTCTGTATTTCCCTATAATTTGTTTTTTTATTCCAAACAAAATATACATGATTTTGTGATGTGCTAAATAACACAGATTTAGTAATTAATATTAGTGATGACATGTTTATTATGAAATTCATGTTTTAATAATTTTCTATGTATCATCTCTTACTCTGGTGTTTTTTAAGTCTTACCTTGTAATGACCTCTGACTCCGGTGATCTTGCAGTCAGGTGAATTGTGAATACAGCATGTGACCTTGAAGAACGCTGATTCATGGGAGTTTCTGCAACTTTTCGGTTGGCTTGTCCTTGAAGCAATAATGCCTGTGCAATGTGCTCATCAGCCGCCAAATGATGAGAGAGGTTGCGAACAATACAAGTATTTTGAGGACCTTCAACAACACTAACCTAGATTATGGGTAGAAAAATAAGTCATAAGTAACCTATCATCAATGTGACCATGTATCAGCAAAGCACCACAGTGTGTCATAATTTTGTGCTATTACATAAGCCATCTGCCTCTTGATATTTCCAAGTCAATGGATATGTTTCAAAATGAAGTGCTTAGCAAGACCTTGCCTTGTTAGGGATGATGTATAATAACAAGACCCTTACAAATATATATTTATTTTATATTTTATACATATTCTATGCTACATACAGTGATACTTACATATCACAGTATTTTAATATTTCTTATATTATTAATAATTGTCTGTAGTATTTTTGTCGTTCATCAATTTTGAATTCTTTTTAAATCAATTTTTACATTTCATGTACTTTTATTATTTACTTTATTAATCTGAAAACCTAAAAAGAAATGTTAACTCTTTCTTTATGGTATTAATAAAGCATTATTCTATTCTATTCTTCTATATTGCAAAATATATAGATTGTAGATGTGTTACAATATTGCCTTGTCTTGTACTGTCTATGAATTCATTTCTAATAACCTTACCTTTGGTAGATGTGTGACAACATTGCCTTGTCTTGTACTGGGATTCAATAAATCATAACCAGTTTCCTGATAGATTTCAAGATAAGATACATGTACACTGATATCTTCATCTGTCCTACTTTGTAATGCTCTGTATATCATGGACAATGCTCTGAATACAAAACAAAAACATAAAAGATATTTCCTACTGTGGTAAGGTAAATTCAAAGAATGAATTCTTTGCTATTAAGTTCATGTTGGTCTATTGGATCTCCCCCACCCTGGGGCAAAGTGTTCTTGACACCAACCTTGTCTTGGTCTGTTTGGTACCCTTCCTTCTGGCACAGTGCTCTCAACATCAACCAGGCATGTCAGACCCTCTACTCCCACCCCTAAACACCAGCCTGATCTGTGACCTCCCACCCTCCTAGGCACAGCCTGTGCTGTTGGATATTCCCCACCCTGGGGTACAGTGCTTACTTCCCACACCCAACCCTTTTGTCAGCACATACTGTAGAATCATTTAATTTTGTAGGTGTTTATTTTGCAATTTAGCAAAAATGTTTCAATTGAATTATTTGTGCTTGTTTGCAAAAACTGCCAAATTAAATAAAAACACACAAATTAATATCCTGGTACTATGGTACCTAATAAGAAAATAATCATGCAATTGCTATGATAATTATATGCCAATTGAAATCAATGAGTTTGTAATAACTTGTTACATACCTTGGTGACAAACCCCTATCTGAATACCTCCTAGCCCCACCTTCCACAGTGAATGTTTTACCAGATCCAGTCTGTCCATAGGCAAATATAGTGCCATTATATCCTGACAGGAACCCTAAACAAACAGAATGTTTCTCAGTAACATTGTAGACACTTACAATAATCTATATTAATGAGTTTTGTTTTTAATGATGTTTTATCAACTCACCAGTTACGATGTCTTTTGCAACAGTGTGAAATACCTCATCCTGTGAGGTATGTGGACCAAATGTTGACCCAAACTGAAACTCATAATCAATAGTCTTGCCACGTTCCACATTTCTCCCCTGCTGTTCTGGAGTGCGGAAATAGAATTTGGTGCTGTCCCAATCAAAACACTGTGACAAACTTGGTGTTGGCCGGATACGACAGTACGTCTTGATATGGGCCATACTGTGAACAGGAATATTACTGTTATGTTACAGTATGATATCCAAGCCTGAACCACGTCCTTTCAACTCCCATAATGGTACCTAAGAAAATAAAACATTGTAAAAAGTAGAACTACAATTGTACCTATACAATGCACAATGAGGGTAATTACAAGGCTACAGCAATGCACAGGGAAAAGTGAGCTTCACAATGTGGGTGAGTTTTGAGAGAAATGAGATATATAAAAATTTTCCGAAGGAATACATGTTTACAAATCTAAAGAGCAAACAAGAAAAACATCAGAATACAAAAAATGTGTTCTAGATACATGTATAACTAACATGTATAACTGTACTTGTTCTTAATAACAGTCCTGTAACAATAAATGAACACCATCAATTTAGCAAATGAATTCAATAGTCTATTATGTATTCTTTTTGCCTGTTTTCGTTGTGGGGTTTTACCACTTAGAATTGAAGAAGGTCGGCGCGAAGGTTTGCCTTCAACGGAAAGAGTCTGTAAACTATGTCGTGCTAATTTTGTTGAGGATGAATATCATTTTCTGTTGATTTGCCCAGCCTATAACACATTAAGACGAGAGTTAATCCCCCCGACATTATTCATTCCAACCAACCATGGATAAATTTCAAAGGTTTGTTCAAGCAACAAATGGTGTTATTCTACGAAATATTTGTGTGTTTGTGTTCAGAGCATTTGAAGTTAGGAAACAATTGTTAACAAATTAATTATTATTTAATTCCATGTGATCAATAACCGAGAATATTATCATATTCTACTTGTACCTGTTACATTTTAAGCATTGGTTTGATATGTTTGTATATGGGCCGGTGGCCTAGGAAATAAATAAATACTTATTTATTATTATGTATTCTTGAAATGACAACAAAATCAGCACAACAGAGGGGTTTCCATGACAACAAACTGTTTAAAACTTCAAAATCCCATTTAATTATCATGAAAAAGCAAAATTACAACAAGTACATTTACTTGAATAAAATAAAAATATAAGTCAAAGGAATATCTCCTGAAAAAACAACATTTCATTTTGAATTACTTACTATGATTGTACAACTGTAAGAATTAATTTTAGATGTACAACTGATTAAAAAGCATGTACTTGCCTTTTATCAAAATACATAAGAGAAGAAATATGGTATAATTTTGTCATTTCAAGAAATTGAAACAATGTTTCATGTAAAATATAAAGTTAAGTTTAAATGAATTTCCCACTAGATGAGAAGTACATTAGTGCAGCCACACTTTATTTATACATCAAGTAAATAAATAAACAAACAAATAAATAAATAAATAAATAAACAAACAAACAAATAAATAAACAAATAAATAAATAAATAGTGTAGTTGAGTCATTTTCATATGTAACATTTGTTTCAAAATTACATATGACTTCAAGACACTTGGTAGTCTGTCTGTCAATGGTTGATTAATCCAGTACTAGTTTAATTCGGTGGAAGCACTAAATAGTATAGCTTTGAATATAAATGTATTCACTGTGATCAAACAGGTAAGAAGAAACCAAAATACCTTAGGATGTCCGACATCTGTCTTAAATGGAAATAACTTGAGGTGTCTGACATGTGTCTTGAACAGATATAACTTAGGGTGTCTAACAGGTGTCTTGAACATAAATAACTTGGGCTGTCTAACAGGTGTCTTGAACAGAAATAACTTAGGGTGTCTAACAGGTGTCTTGAACAGAACTAACTTAGGGTGTCTGACAGGTGTCTTGAACAGAAATAACTTGGGGTGTCTGACAGGTGTCTTAAACAGAAATAACTTGGGGTGTCTGACAGGTGTCTTAAACAGAAATAACTCAGGGTGTCTGACAGGAATCTTGAACAGAAATAACTTGGGGTGTCTGACAGGTGTCTTAAACAGAAATAACTCAGGGTGTCTGACAGGAATCTTGAACAGAAATAACTTAGGGTGTCTGACAGGTGTCTTAAACAGAAATAACTTAGGGTGTCTGACAGGTGTCTTAAACAGAAATAACTTGGGGTGTCTGACATGTGTCTTAAACAGAAATAACTTAGGGTGTTTGACAGGTGTCTTAAACAGAAATAACTCAGGGTGTTTGACGGGTGTCTTGAACAGAACTAACTTAGGGTGTCTGACAGGTGTCTTGAACAGAAATAACTCAGGGTCTCCAACAGGTGTCTTAAACAGAAATAACTTAGGGTGTCTGACAGGTGTCTTGAACAGAAATAACTTAGGGTGTCTGACAGGTGTCTTAAACAGAAATAACTTGAGGTGTCTGACAGGTGTCTTAAACAGAAATAACTTGGGGTGTCTGACAGGTGTCTTAAACAGAAATAACTTAGGGTGTCTGACAGGTGTCTTAAGCAGAAATAGCTTTGGGTGTCTGACAGGTGTCTTGAACAGAAATAACTCAGGGTGTCTGACAGGAATCTTGAACAGAAATAACTTGGGGTGTCTGACAGGTGTCTTAAACAGAAATAACTTGAGGTGTCTGACAGGTGTCTTAAACAGAAATAACTCAGGGTCTCTAACAGGTGTCTTGAACAGAAATAACTCAGGGTCTCTAACAGGTGTCTTGAACAGAAATAACTCAGGGTCTCTAACAGGTGTCTTAAACAGAAATAACTTGGGGTGTCTGACAGGTGTCTTAAACAGAAATAACTTAGGGTGTCTGACAGGTGTCTTAAACAGAAATAACTTGGGGTGTCTGACAGGTGTCTTAAACAGAAATAACTTAGGGTGTCTGACAGGTGTCTTAAACAGAAATAACTTGAGGTGTCTGACAGGTGTCTTAAACAGAAATAACTTGGGGTGTCTGACAGGTGTCTTAAACAGAAATAACTTAGGGTGTCTGACAGGTGTCTTAAACAGAAATAACTTGAGGTGTCTGACAGGTGTCTTAAACAGAAATAACTTAGGGTGTCTGAC